AATCCGCGAGATCGTTCTGCGAAAATGGACGAGGAACGGCGCTTGACGGCCGAGTAAACCGTTCCCGACACATCGGGACCAATAAAAAGACGCGGGGGGTCTTCTCGATAGAAGTTGAGCGATCGTCTATGCAAATACGTAATCCTTTCGCGGATCCATCCGAGCGACGTTGACGGATTGGCGGAGGACTTTGCTCGGAGGCGGCCCCAACAGATTGCAATCCGCGGGACCATTTGTTTCCCCGAAGCTGCGAAGTGGTCTCCGGTTCTACGGAGAACGGTTCTCGATTAACGGGTCCGCGTTAATTGCCGATCGAAGGTGCGGAGACCGGATGACGCTCGTTTCTACTAGATACAAGGTATTTCGAAACGCGAGTTCCGTTGCGCCTTGAAATATCGTGATCCGTTTGCCGAATATCGCGGGATCGTGAAGCCGTTACCGTTCGAGGTAACAATTGATAATATATGTATATGTATTTGGAACCTTAATGAGCTTAACAGATTCACAACGATCGCGCGTTTAACCCCTTTCACTATGATTTCTTTTGCAGCTATTGATTATCCGTTCTTCGTTCTGAACTATTACCCTGATAAAACGGGACAATTTTTGTATCGTGTATGTCTTCATTTACTTTGATTCTTAGATTTCGATAACAGAAGAATCAAATTTTATTTTGATGTAGCGCAGAAGTGAAGAATATTTGTATTTAATAGATTATGTATAAAATCTTCATCGCGAGACTGACTTGTTGTTAGAGCACAAAGAGTTAACCTGTGATCCTACGGATTTCTTCGCGGTGTAACAAGTTTTATTCTATGTTGTGTTGTAATGTGCTCTATAGTAGTGTGCATAATTATAGACACAAAGTAGGTTTTACATTGTTACCGATATCTAAACGAAAACTTAAGGAAATATTATATTTATATATTTCTATTTTTTATTATTTTCAATATAGCGCTGTGAACAATTATAAACTGAAAGTATCTTTAATATCTTTATAGATACTTACGTTATATTTGTATATATGCATTATATTTGTATATTTCTATTTTCTATTATTTTTAATATAGAAATATACAAATATGCTATTTTGTTATGATTTTTTTAAATATACAGAATGACTCAGTCAAATGAAACCACTTACAGTGCTGTGAATAATTATAAACTTAAAGTAAAACTTTTACATTTTTACTGATATTTAAACAAAAACCAAGAAAAAAACTATATTCGTATATTTCTATATTAAAAATAATAGAAAATAGAAATATACAAATATAATGCATATATACAAATATAACGTAAGTATCTATAAAGATGTAAAAGTTACTATATGGAAAATAGAAACATACAAATACGACATATCGTTAAGTTTTTCTTTAAATATCACTAAAACCGTAAAAGTTACGTTGAGAGTTCATAATTATTCACACGACTGTATGTCGCGTTGCGATGTGTTCCGTTTCGAGCGGTAATGTCTCGTCTGTTGAGTTCCCGATGTGCCGTCTTCATTGCCACTTTTTGTCCCAATTAATTGCAGCAATTGTTCTTCAGCTTGTAAACAAAAATGGACAATTTGGGAAGAGGGGATACGATTATTCGAGCTTCGCGGCTCGCTTTTATAGTCGCCAATTGTCAACAACTGTAAAAACGAGGGGCGCAAGATTCGAATAATCTAATCGCCTCTTTCCAAATTGTCCATTTTTGTTTACAAACTGGAGAGAAGAAACTGGGAGAATTTACTGTAATTGGTTTGCAGGTGCGTCCAAAATCGGTCTTAACTCTTCGACCGCTGCGTTATCCATATTTGGGTGACGGAATTATTTCCTCAGAGAAGAAAATCAATTTTTACGCTAATCTATTTCGTCGTCTTAATTTTATTAGCATCCACAAAACGTGAGAATGTTGAAGAAATAATCGATGTCATACGTTAATATTACAAAATTTTGAGATTGTTAGTGCAACAGTCAGTTAACCCATCGCAATAGAAGATATTTTCACTCCGGAACTCTAAACATTTCTTTCGAGTCGAAAGATGTCTATTCTCCCTCGATTTCTCATGATTAGACTGCGGATTTTATGCATTTATGATGAAAACGTCTAGATCAAATTGAAAAGAGCGAACACATTCAAAGAATTTAAGAATACAATTGCATTATTTTTAACACGATAAAATAATTCAAGAAAAAAATGTCTGAAAATGTCTGTAGTTCCAGCATTTTGCAATTAAGCACTGCTATTTTTAAGATCAATTTTCTATGCGTTTTATCGATCGCACTGAGTGCAGTTTCTTTCGACAAATTGTTCTAGAATTATCCTAATATGTGCGAAATTAACGAATATGTTTCACAAGCATTTTAATCTAAATCATAGGAGAAGTATTTTTGTTGTAAGGTATAAAAATGTCATTTCCTTATGACGTCATTTCCTTATACATGTCGTCCACGGCTAAAAGGTTAATGAAGACATTTTTTGTTCTGCATAAAAATTCGCGGTCTACTCGTGATACACTTCAATGTTTAGAAGTTTATTAAATGGGAACAAAAGTATTGTAAAAATCATTTCAAATTACAATACGATAAATTTTATTGGTGCCTCGGAGTCGCCTAAGTTCGAGTCCAAATGGTTAAACTGCAAAGATGGCAAATTTCGAGGAAACATTTTTCCGTCTATCGAAAAATGTCCGCTCTTAAGAGCGCCTCGATAATGAATTCGTCCACGGAGGTCTGTAAGAATGATTGTCCAGTGACACGGTGCGTTTTTGAGACCGTCGAATGTCTCAAACTATCCCAACCGTCCGTGACAAATCCGTTTTCGGACTACTCGAGATCGAACAAGTTCCCCCGATAGAATTTCCTAAAAACGATTCCCGGCGGACTCGCTGGAACGAACCAAGGGCGCAGATCTCCGCGAAGATGATCATCGCGAGCGACTCGCGGCGCAGAAAAACGATCAGCGAAGATGTCGCAACGGGTTCCCGGCGCGAAATTAAGCCCGCCTCCGAAACACCGGTGTTAAATCTTTCTGACACCGTCGGAAAAAAGCCCCTAATGCCCGGGCAAGGGTATTACGGGAGCGCAAGCGGGCTGATTATACGCTTCCTCCTGGACGGTCAAGATTGACGGATTCAAATTTGCCGGGGCTTAAGTCCCGCGGGTTCCACGGTTTACGGACAGCCGGCTAAACTGGGATCAACCCTTTGCGCGGATTACGGCGTGTGTCATGTCACGCTTGATTTCGGTGCCGGCCAAAGGCCCGTGAAAACCCGAAATAAGTGGCCGTTCTCTCCCACCCCCTCGGCCGCGACCGAAACGAGGGGGGCACAAGCCTTATCGCCGGTGTAAAAGGATGAAACGAGCGGTGATTAAATTTTAATTGCCAGAAGCGATTAACGAGGCGGCCGGCCGACGGTGTATCGAATTGGATGAAGATCGAGTCAATTTTCTCGAGGCCAGTTCGAGATTCCGGTTTAGAAAGCAAACCGCGGCATTCGATTTTGCACCTCCGCGGTGGAAAAATGAGGAGGAATCCGAAGAATGCCCACAAATCTGACCCTAGGTATTCCCTAGCTGAACGGGAACGGCTTTCAAAAGGAGAATATTTTTCCGATGCCATTGTCTTTGCTCTCGTGTGCCTCTCGGTGATTAATTTTTCGGACACCCTACCACCCCGCGTTCGTGACAATTTATGGCGCGGACAGAAATTGTCCGGAAGAACGTGCCTGCAAGAACGCCCGGCGTGAAATGTCCGAATATAGTCTTTGCAACGCGACATCGAAGGAGGACCAACCCTGAAAAAAGTATACAGCGACTTCTTCCAGGAACTCAGTCTTGAAACGTTTATTCGGCCGAGGATTCTTCGACTTGATTCTTCGACCGAATCGGTAAACAGAAAACGGTTTCCGAGGAGCATCTACGGGGCCTCGAATTCGACAACGGCGGGGAGGGAGTCCGAGGCGGGGACTGCAGGGGCGCATTAACGAGCTTTTCCTAATTATGAGAAAAAACTGGACCGCGCGATTAAGGGCTGCGGTGGGCTCCCTCGTCCTCGTGTGGATGCCGGGCCAGGAGCAGCACGGAAAACTAATTGAAACCGCCTAACGACCCGCCGGCAAATGATACATCAGCCTCGAGGAACACCATCCGCCGCCGTCTTAATACCGTTTCGCCTTATTCGGGGCTCGTCGCGGCCGCAATTTCGCCCCTACTTCGCCACCCCCCGGCCGAGGACCGATTTTCCTGCACACGGTCCCCGGAACCGTTTCCACCCCCGCGTAGCTTGGCTCGGACCCGCGTCTTTCGTCGCTTAATTGCAAGCTCGAACGAAGATCGAGGACGTTTCCCGACCGGATGGAATGATTTATAGCAGTTTCTGGCTCGTTTCACGCGTTGTCTTTCGTCGCGGTTGTTTAAGCGCTCGGAAAAAGGGATGCAGCGAAATTTCTCGAGGCTCTCGGTGCCTCCGAGGCGATCCACCCCCCAAAGCGGGGGTGCGTCGAGCCCTTGGCTCGACAGAGCGTTAAATTCGGGCTCCACTTTCGCTCAAAAAAATTGTAAATATTCAGTCCATTGCAAGTTACACCTACGTTGAATATTAATAACAAAATGATCGAATTTGTCGGTGTTTCTGATCATTATAGTTCATAGAGTGCATCGTATTAAACATTTAAACTTGTGTAAACTAGTGTGAATTACGATAACTAATTAACAATAACAGTATGTGACATTCGCTTAAAGTGATATTTAATCAAAATAATCTTTTTCCATTACTTCGGTCTTAAGAGGTACTCGACGCGCCATCTAGCGTGCACAATGCTGTACTGGTTCGCGCGACTGCCTAGAGATGGCAGCACCAGTCGGTCCGAAAAATGAGCATAACGTGCGCATAAACTGCAGTGCTTTATACGTGTTATTCCATTAAGAGTTTTATTGTATTCGAAAGAGGATAAAATCGAATGGATAAAGATTCACAATCTAATGATCTCGATATTCGAATGAACTTACCGAACGAAGGAACGCCAGCTGTCCAGGAAGCCCTTCTCCACGATGAAGAACACCTTCTCAGGGTCTTCGCACTTTTGTATCTCGTTTCTATTTCGTCCATGATATAAATCGTTCAGCTCGTCCTTTTGCTGTTTCGCTTTGATCTTGTCATCCTTCTTAGCCTTCTGCGCGTTCTCCATTTTCTCCTGAAACAGCAGCACATTTCCATATAGATGCATTCCAGCAGATGCTTATCACCAAGGAATATTATGTAAGGCAACAGTACCTCGCAAATGGAACATGACGGAGATGAAATAGGGTACTCCTTCGATTCTGGAAAATATTTCCGGAGTGTAACCCAAGCTTCTCTTGGAACCACCTTCCTGGTGGAATCTGGGGTTTTCAAGGATCCATGCTCGCAGAGCAGGTCTTCGTTGAAGTAGAGTATCACTTCATTTTCTTCGCTCTCCTCCACTTCTTTTGCACCCTCGCTGTCTTTACCGCTGCTTTTACTATCCTCCTCCGGCTCGTTAGAAGTCTGACCGTCCTCGTCTTGGATCTCATGCTCCATTTCATCTATAAACTTCTCCATTGCTAGCCTCCGCCATGATCTCAACGAATCAGCGCCCACTACGTAACTTGTCTCGGTCCTGCAACGAACAAAGCAACCTTGTATAAGACCACAGTCTAAAACTCTGCCATAAAAGTAAACCGACGCTACCAAATTCTTGTTAATCAAGAAACTACAAATGAGAATGACTTACGGTTCCTTGAAGGTTCGGACAAGCTCGCTGACCTCCTTGTGATCTCGTTCCAACGAGATCTTAAAACGGAGCAGCTTATATCGCCGCCTCACGCAAACCTCGCACAATGAGTTTTGATCTAACCGCGGCCCACCGCGGTATTTCTCATAGATTAATTCTGCGGCTGGCAGAGGTAGACACTTCGCGCGATTCACTTTCAGTGGATCGAGTCGAAAATGCGGACACATCAAGGTGGAGTTGTCTATTGGCGGCACGCCTTCGGTAAACGCGTGGCCGTTCAGCCACTTTGATAACCAGTCGCTTGGGATCCACTGATACTTATCCCAAGAGACTGTATTAGAAATAATGTTGTAAATGTCTATTACGAGCTGTCTCTTCAGATTCTGGTCTTCGACTTCCTTTTGCTGCAAGGAAAATAAATATGTCATCGTCAGGTAGACCTTGAGAAGAACATGAATCGCATAATTTACCGGTGCATACCTTTTCTTGCTGGATAGCCAACAAGCTCAATTCGTGCTTCACATTCTCCTGCCTCACTAACTCGCGTAACGTGGAACTAACTTCCCAACTCTCAAACTCCATCTGCAAAAAATTAACCGTATAATATTTTCAAAATATGTATTGTAAAAGTAATACCATCTCCTTACCTCTTCATAAATGTCTCTCTCTCCGCAGCTCATGGCTCGATGTGCAGCACCGTTTAGCCTTTTATAATCCACTTTTGCATTCTTAACTTCGTAATGATTTTCCTTGGTGTCTGGCTCATGTTTTCCATTCCGTTCGTTGGAAGTAGAATCTACAACCTCCGAAGAAGACACTACATTCTCGGACTTGGCATTCCGTTCTACGTCCAATTTCGGCACTTTGATAGGAACGCTAGAATTAAGCACAGTAGAATCTGGTCCGTTCTTGCGCTTTCCTTCGTCCGACGAGTCTGGTTTCTCTTTATCGCTATAACCCTCCGCGTTATTACTATTAGTCTCGACTTCAGCTTTCTTCGTCTTGGTCTTCTTTACGTTGTTCATTCTATTGTCCATAGTCACTTTTTTGTAGACTAGCATGTACGCCGTGTTGGATGATAGGAAGCCCTTTGGGACACGTCCACGTTTTACAACCTTTGTACTGTCTGAAACCCACAAAGTATATTCGACTGAGTCTGACAGTATCGATAAGAGAACAAACCATCTCGAGATAAGTCCCATGCTTACCATTCACGCTGTCTTCGATCCGTTTGTTCTGCATTTTCTCAACTTTGTCATCGCTAAACTGGTACCACTCTCCGTTCGAATTACATATATTAGCAATGTAATGACCTGAATGTGCGGATGGCCCTTTGTGGCTCAGAACCGCGACGAGATTGTACACGTGAGTCTGTACCGGACATCTGACATACTCGGACATATCCAGGTCCTCCGGAAACTGTATAAAAGAGTTCAGCTTTCTTTTCTGACCAGAATCTCTATCGGGCAAAGCAATCAGAAGGATTAATGTGAGGTGTATCAAGAACTTTAAGGAAAAGCGACACGTAGATAAATACCTGTGAAAGACGAAACGCATTAATTGTATGTTCAACGTTTCGGGGAGGGACTCCAAGCGTATAAATCGCCGCGCATCCTTTTTGTCGTTGCAGGTAACACAATGATACTGATTCGCTCCGGTTAGATGTTCCACGGACAAGTATTTCTCTATCGCCTCCTTAAGGGTAGCCGCGAGCTGCAGGTCCAGCTCATAGAACGTGGTGGAGGTCGGGTATTCGGTGCCGCACTTCGAACAGCTGCATCAGACATAAAGCCTCGGTTATTTAGGAGGTATTAGCTTCCATGTCGGTCAGATCAGTTGATCGCACCAGTCACCGTAGCGAGCAACGTGTCCTACCATGTTCTCATCGTCAAGATCATCAGCATCATCATCGTTTAGGACAATTCTCATTTGTTTTCCACTTCAGAAAACCCACCAATTGATATAGCTGTATTTCCCTTGTGTCAGCCTCTGCAACGTCTGCTTCAATGCCGCGTTTTGTTGCAGTTTCCCTTCGATATGGCACAGTAGTAGCTTCGAGAACTCCTGCGCATCCTGCTGCGTTCTAGTGTCCAGAGACAACACGATCGCGAGATTCATTGGGTCAAGAAGTCGTCGATTTCCGAATTGCATCATAGCAAATATGTATTGCAACTGGCCGACCGCTGTCACAGGATGGAATGGTACTCCCGCCTTCGTAGCTTGACACACCGCTTCCCTTTCTTCTGGATCCTCTGTGATGTTCCACTTGTATATTATTCTCCTGGAAAGATCCAATTTAGTTTCTCGTTAATACTTTCAAAAATAAGATAAATTGATAGTAACAAAATCAATTATATATACCTCATATCTTCATTGTGAAACCACATTTGAATTAAACTGTTCACATAGCAAGTAGCACCCAGATTCTTTAAACCAACATACTCTGTAGGGTCACGTAATTCGGATAAAGAACTTTCTAAAGATGCTACTTCTACGAGTTGAGACTTCATGTACTTTTCTTCGCCTATGCCTGTTAGACATTGTGGATTATTCGTACAGTTGCGTCTGAAAAGAAAATACACAATTATATCAAGCATTGAAGTATTAAAAAAACCAGAGAAATACATTTTTTAGAGATTGTAAAACTCACTTGCAATTTTTACATGCTTTTAAACCTATCCTGTAGGCAGATTCTAAATGTATTTTCTGTATATCTTCGGGTGAAACATTTTCCACCCAAGCCCATGCTAGTTTATCTAAATCAGTCTTCTTATATGGCGGCATTCTTTTCTGAAACAATAATTATATCAGTTAAATACATAGTTACACCATTGTAATTTATTTATTCCAAACTTATAATAAAACATAAATTATGAACACCAGTTATTGGACCACAGATTCTTTGCGTTTAAAATGCACACGAAAATTGGAAAATAAAAAAAATTAAATAAGCTTAAACACATTCATATTTTGCTTTTGATTTAATAAAAAGCTTGATAAAGAATATAAATTTTTATCAGACCCTCATTTTTGTAAATTTATTTACTAAGTATTATACTTTGTATGAATATTTGCACCTTAGTAATGCAATAGTACAACGTGAAAATGCACGCGTTTCATTTCGCGCCATAGGCAAATCAGGATTCGCTGGTAAAATAAAAACGTAACGAAAGTGGCACTCGATACAATTGATTTTGTTAGATTTCTACAGTCAAGAATAACAATAAATAAAAGACGGGTAACGTAGTTAATCGATAACACATTGAAAACATGTGATCAATCTTACACGTCTAAAAATCGTAAGCCGTATACCTGCACGAAGGTGGTATTCGTTGCTGGTGTTCGAGGTTATGAGAAATGCCGCTATTATTTCTTCAACATTCTATTCTTCCCCTACAACATTATCTGATTGTAAGGGAACACTTATCACGTTCGTAAATCCAATCAACACTAGTACCTTTCAATTATCTTTGTGAAAAGGTAACAAAAGTCACATAAAAACACTCTAACCGTCCGATGTACACTGACCGCCATATGCAATTGGTTTTCCCCGAGGCGCGCGTCAAATTAATCTCTAAATATACGATATACAACACGAAACTTAATATAAAAGACATATTTTATTAATTCATCTTCAATCTTCTGTTTCGATAATGCATTTATTTTAATATTTGAATAGCTTTCATCTTGACGTCCAGCGCGTTTATATGAAAAAAGCTTCTTTTTTCAAAAATTGTCTAATATTTTTAACATGTGCCCTCCAGAGCATACATTTGCATAGACTTCCGTGGCCAAGTAATTATTTAAGTGGTGAAACAGACTTTGAAATGTCTCAAGATAAAATAGGTAAATAGAGTTTAAACAATTTGAATTAATAATAAATAATAAAATTGTGTTGCTAATTGAAAATGTTTACAGTCTGTTTAGATATCTTGCTGGAATTTCTGGAAGTGGCATTTAATCATATATTGTACTTTAGAAATTTATATCCAAAGGAAATCTTTACAAAGAGGAAGATCTACAGTGCAGTAGTATATGTTTCTATACATCCTGAGCTTAATGAATACTTGAAAAATGTTCTCAATGCTATCAGGGAACTACTCAAAGAAGATGAAAACAATGTGAAGGCTGTAAATCTTATTATTTACAACATAAACAAGCAACCAATTGAGAAATTCACTTTTGATCTTGTTAAGCTACAAATAAATCATACAGAGTACGTATTCTTCGTTAGAATTTATAGTGATGACTTACTAAACATTTTGATCTTTGTTGCAGAAAGGATCCGTATTATTTAAAAACAGAGGAAGATCTCAGAACAATTTGTTTAAAATTGTCCATGTGTGAGGCTTATCTGAAACCATTGCCAGAGGACTCTACTTTTTCCATTGAGATTCAAACGTATGAAGCAGCCCATGTTGGTCTCAGCGAAAACCCAAACTGTGAAGACTTTCCATGGATCATCAATGAGGATATGCCCGAGATGACTGATACAAATTTATTGCCACTGAAAACCATTAAAACAGACTGTATGAATTTGCAAATGTATGTGACCGAAAGTGAAAAGAATAAAGGCACAAACTAATCATAATTATAGTGCATGGAGAAATTTTATATAAATAAGTAAAAAGAATCCTTTGAAAACTCTTGTATCTTTATACCTCTTTTCATACCTTTTATAAAGCTCTATTACAGGAGCTCAATATAAGACTCTCCTAGCTTCAATACTCTTCGATAATTTAAAATGTTCCTTTTTTAAAAATTGAACAAGGAAAGTGCGTAGCAACTCTACACGAAAGTGAATAGTGGCGCCATCATTTGACGAAGGCTGGAACTGAAAGCTCATCTAACACCTAATGATCATCATAAACTCCTGATACAAAACTGACTCTGAAGCTATTAGGACCCGCATGAAACATTGATTCAAAGTAGGTGGCAAGATTGACCGTTGTCCTTGTCGCACAAATGATTCTCCTCGTTTTACACATTCTCAGAATTAGAAAAAAAAATATGACCATGCAAAATTGTTAATAACTAATTAATGCAAGATATATTTCGATTTATCAAGAGAAATGTATTGGGTTTCACATTAGTTTCCTCAGTTGTAAAGTCTTAAATTGTTAAAATAATTAAATAATGGAATAATTTTCCATCGTCGCGATTGCGCGTTGCATAATTCGTAATCAAACCTGCACAAAATTGAGATTAGAATAGAATCAAAATTTTTAATTTTTCAAATATAAAAATCCATTTATTGTGTCAGAAAAATATGAACATTAATTTTTTATCATGCCTCTATCAAATTTATCGAAATTATGTTTGAATATAAATATAATTGTTAATAGCTCTTCAACAAGAGTTACTTAACAACCTTGACTAAAAACTATACGTAACAGTTGAAGATATACTCTACATTATCTGATTGCAAATGTTTATAAATTGTGCCTTATTGATTACCAGGGTTACTTATGCTCCTAATGCCAATATTATAATAAGACACATTAATATATCCAAGACATTATTAATATCCAAACATAATTAATCTTTTATGATAATACTGCTGCCACAGCCTAAA